GCTCTGTCCACCACAGGTATATTTTCTGAAATGACCCACTTACCTCTTTCACATAGTAGCTATTTCTCCTACTTCAGCCTCATTCACATGAACTGTTCTATTTGTTACGTCTCTGCTCGTTTCCTAATATCCAATATAAATTCTTTCCAAGGAACTTCAGCAATACAAGCCCTTTCTTAATTAAAACTAGTTTATTATTTCTCGATACAATTTTGTAATACACAGAATTTCCAGAGTCACTCTAAACTTAACAACCTTCATAACACACGCTATAAATCACAGTGATTCACACACTTTACTTACGGTGCCTACTGTTCACTTGACTCAATCATCTATCTCTTCAATCTATCTATATCTCTTCTATCTGCATATCTCTCTATTGCTGGCTTTATTTGCCGGGCTTATATATTAAAAAAGAGGGTGCCTGGCAAACACTTGGACATTCGCGGGGTTCCTTGATAATTCAGGATCTTTCGAGAAACTCCAGCACGCATGCTCCCAGCATCTTGTGACTTCTGCTGTCATAACACTGCCCCTTCCTTAGTATTGTTAATCCCAAACAATAGCCACTTACATTAAACCAATAGATAATTAACAATAACTTGATTAAATACAACAAAGTCTCTTAATTTTACAGGACGTATTTTCTTCTGTATTGGTCTCCGTCTCATTGGCTTCTGCTTCACTTGGGGGTTCATCTGCTTCATCAGGAAATGTCCCATTATCGGTAACAGTCATATCAGTGGTTGTAATTTCATTAATGGCTTCAATGTTTTCCTTCTCAAAACTTTGGTAGAGTTTCTTCTTCGACAGTGGCTTTTTCAGGTGACACGTCTTCAGCAGCATCATTTGTTCTGTTGTTCACTTCATTCACTGAAATATCCTGGACCGTGATAATGCCAAAGCCTGTTGGCATGCACCACCTTTGGCTTACCTTGCCGACCACATTTTATTCGGAAAGTCGCATCTGAGAGACGATCCACTATGTTATATGGGCTTTCCCATGGAGAAGACAACTTAGGAGACTTCCCTTTGGTCTTCCTGGGATTATACAACCACACCTTGTCTCCTGGTACAAAGCTGACTTCAGTAGATCACTTATCATAACATAGCTTCATGGAATCAGCAGATATTTTCAAGTTTGAACGCACTTGATGGTGAATTTCATCCATCCTTTCAGATAACACTTTCACAAACTCTGACACATTTTCAGGCAACTCTTCATAAGGTGGGCATCCTGTTGTCAGGTCCACTGGCAACCGAAGTTCCCGACCAAACATCAACTTTGCTGGAGTGTATCCAGTGGGATCATGCTCTGCTGTTCTATAGGCTATCAGCAGTGGAGGGAGTAAGACATCCCAGTCATCTTGGCGGCTATTACAAAACTTTGCCAATTCCTGTCCCAGTGTCGAATTGTACTTTTCTACCATCCCACCAGACTGGTGCCTTCACTATGTTTTATGGTTGTTCTCCTTGCAACTTCCTCTTTTTATCTGTTTGGTATGCTTTACCCTCTGATTCTGTTCTCTAATTAATGCTCAATTTAACGTGTTTGCTTTTTTTTGCCCATCTTCTTCATTACTGGTCCTCTCTTCATCTTCTGTCCAAAGCCCTACACTGTGATACCAGTAGTTTTTCTGGGAATTTATGATTGGTCCTTCTCAATACCTTGGTGAGGGTTTCATCTTCAGCTCTATCATTTCTCAAATGTTTACTGTGTTGAGACTTTCTAGGTTGTGACACTCTTCTCTCTACCATCTGTCTTCCCCATTCTTAATTTTGTGACTTATGGCTGGCTCCTTTACTTCACATTGAAGTCTTTGTGGGTATTCCTAACATCTTGGAGACTTAAGCAGAGGTTGCCCAACACCAGTTCTCCCTCACTTCCTTGGTTTCTTGACTCTCCTATCCTCGAGAGATCACTACTGTTTCTCGACCCCGTGAACACTCTACCTCTCTCAATGTTTCTGTTTCTTGACCCTGTAACTACTATCATTGTCCCTCTTCCCATAGGATTGGACACCATATGTCACATTGGTGACTCCCTGCCCTAATACCCAGTTGACTCGGATCTGATGGGAGCATGACTGTTCCTCTTTGCAACTTCCTTGACTCCTTTTGCAGCAGACCATTGTATAATTCAGGTTTTTGTGTATATCCTTTCTCTTTATTTCTCATCTCTTCCTCCTCTGTCCACTTTTCCTATTTCATTTCTTCCTCCTTCAGCATCTCTTGCATCTCGAGGCTGCAGTATTGTAGTATTAGATCTTTTGGCCATGAGAGCCGTCAAGAGGAACATTTGCTCCTTTTTGGGTTTTATTCTCATCTTTATTGTCTCCCAAAAGACCAGGAACTAGTGTCCCATTGTCGAACATTCTTACCTCAGCCACTATCTAGTGGTTTTCCTCTTCATTGTTCCTTTTCCCCTGGGCTTTGGTGGACCAAGATTGACGTCTCAGATACTTTTCTACACATTCTGATTGCCTCTGTTCTACTAATGTTACCTTCAATTCATTCACTGGGATTAGATGAACCAGTTTTGAGCTCTCCCTTTCAACACAGCTTTGGCTTTTTATGTTCCCACCCAAGTCATATAAGCATTTGCTTACCACATTCACAATCTTGGACTTCAGTTCCATTATTATATGGATGACTGGCTCATATTCGTCTCTTCTTGGGGACCTTTTTCATCAGCCATGCTGCTTCTTCTCCAAGAGGTGGATCATCTGAGTTGGCTGATCAAGTTTTTAAGTCATTTCTGATGCCAACTCAGTATTTAGTCCACTTTTAAGTCCATTTTTATCCTTACCTCATCTGGGCTCAACCTTCCCCCACTTGTCTGCAAGACATGGGGCATCTAATTTTATCTAAAGAACATTTTGTCCCTCTTTATCAGTCTCACATGAGACTTCTTCACTGGACATAGATCGATCAGTGGAACATCTCTTGAGATCTTCTATTCTTTCTTGTGACTCTGCCACCTTCTCTTCTGAATGTTCTGTTCTTGGTGGTTGGATCATGCTAGGACTACAGTCAGCATCCCATTACTGCCCCTTTGTCCAGAACTACACCTATTTACCAACATTTCTCTTACAGGTTGGAGCACATCACTGGATGATTCCACAGCTTCTGGGTTTGGTCTCCTGTGGAGCATACTTTTTACATACATTTCCTGGAACTCTTGGCAACACATCGGGTATGTTCCTGCTTCCTTTCCCATCTCATGGAACACTTGGTTATGCTCCACTCAAACCATTCTTCAGTTGTTTACCATATCAATTGCCAGGGAGGAACTTGCCCCTGTGACCTTTGCATCTGCATGTTAGATTTACTGTTTTGGGCTTGTTCACATTAGGTTTGCCTGACAGCTTTTCATGTCCCAGGGCTTTGAACTTGGTGGTGGATTAAATTTTTTTGTCAGGACAGAATTTTTCCCATGGAGTGTTCACTCCATTCTCAGGTTTTTGTGGGATTATATCAATTTTGGAATGCCAGTGATCACTGAAAGGAATGCCAAAGGCATCAACCATTGGCATTCATTACCATTTCTCTCAATACTGAACTTTCTCTCTTTTGGTCTCCAGTATCTCACTCAGCTGCTCTGGCTGTGGATGCTTTCATCCAGGACTGGTCCCCTCTCTTTTTTTATACCTACTCTCTTTTCACCTTCTCCAATGTATCTTGGCATTGATTTACAACATTCCTTGCTGGGTCCTCTTTGTAGCACATTTTTAACTGGCTAAACCTTGGTTTCCTCTTCTCCACCAACTGGGGTCCAAGGCACCTTTTCCTTTATCTCTATCTTATTCCCTCTTACTCTAACCTTGCGTGTCTTTCTTTCAACTGTGAGTGTTGTCTCTTCCTCTTCATGCATGGAATTTATCTGGTCCATTTCACACTAGTCCGGTCTCTCTGATTGATTAGCACCTCTTTTATTCCATTTGTGTCATCTTTCCCCACACTCTATCAATGTAAGTGGTGACTTTTTTTGCCACTGGTCCATCCACTTCTCTCTGCCACCAGGCTACCCAACTATTGCTCACCTATCAGCCTTCCTTACCTGTTTGTTTAAACCAGGATTGTTAGTTTCTACCATTGCAGACTATAGGGTTGGCCACTTTTGCCTCTTTTTATTATGGTCCCATCTTTTCCCTCCTGTTCTGTCCACCTTCTTTCAACCCTTTCTAGTTCATTGTCCTTCTCATCCAGTTCCTTTACCTGTGTCAGGAGTCTTCCTAATGAACATCATTCACTTCTTTTTACTCACATTGTGTCTTGGTTACAGGTTGCATTGACATTATCTGGGCTCGCCAAAGAATGTCTAAGATTACTTTAAACACCATACCAGTATTTTTTTGTAATTTTGCAAGGGAAATCTTAAGCAAGGTTGTTAAGGAGGAAAAAGGATTTGGTCATAACTATTGCAAAGTAATATGGCAAATAGGATTTTAGGTTGTATGTGTGTGTGTGTATATATTTATGTATATAGAAATACTGAGTCCACATGGAAGGAAGTCATAAGCTCATTCTATAAGATGCTGCTTTCAACCTCATTCATATCATTATGTCAGTTTTGGTCACATTATTTAAGAAGGGATACTGAGCTGTGGGAAAAAGTTCAGAAAAGAGCTCCAAGTTTGGAGGAGTTATTATCATTTAAAAAATACACAAGCTATGTTTTAAGTTTTAAACTTTTATCACATTTAAGATTGTTCAAAGTGGAAAAGTTTATTGCTTTCAACATGCAGTTAAATCAAGAATGCAGACATAGTTCTCACCATTGCATGAGAAAGCCCTTGGTTCAGGGCTACACTACCATCTCATTCTTAATATTAAGACATTTACCCAATGCTGTTAGCTATTATTGACCACTTGTAAATTTATAAATGATTTATTTTATTTGCTGATTTTTTAGCATTAGCAGTTATTACAACCATTATTGAAATAAATTTTTTGTGACATTAATTTCTTGCAAATTGATAATTTTTTTGTTTCCTTAGCATTAGCAAGTGTTATTTTGTGGTCAAAGGAGCTGCTGTCATACTGCCCCATGATGAGTGTGTACACTTACATAGAAGATACTGCACCAGTGGAGGAGGTAGGATCACAAACATTGGCATGATATGGATAACAGACAAACTAGAATTTTAAAATGTGGCGTGTTACTGTTTCTTAATTGCATTAGACTTAAGTTTTATCTTTTCAGAATAATACTTCCATTAATAAAGTATTACATTTGGGTCAATTTTTATTATTTTTTCCACCTTGGTGTTAGCAATCCAGGGTTTATGGCATGTAGATCACAATCTTATCATACTTTTTGGCATACCTTATAATATTTGTGGCTAGCTATAATCATGAGCATCTGCAGAATTTATTCCAGATGGGGGAAAGCCATTGCAAAGTGCTGGCCATTTGCCATGAAGTTTGAATGCTATGTTCTAGCTGATCATGGCTTATTTATGTAAACCTAATTTCATTAATTATATTTAAATAGTATTACTTTCTAAAAAATCTTTAAATATATTATTTATTTATTATACAAAGTTGCCAAATGGAAATCTTTTATATTCTCCATAATAAGTGGAAGATGAAAAAGGACTTTTGCATAATTTTAAAAAATATGTAGTCTTTTTGTTTAAATTGCAGGACATAATGTTATTAAAACAGTCCCTATATGATGAGTTCAGCTAGTACTATTGAAAAATTCAGAAAGGTGTGTGTATCAAACTTTCTCATGCAGAGAACTGTTTAAATAAATATGTAAATGTTTTTTTAATTACAAGAAAGTTAAGTCTTCAACAGAATAGGATGAAAAGAAATTAAATAATACGTACATTTCTTACTGTATTGAAAATGTCACTCTTGCAAAACAGATCTGGGTGATTATTGGAATTTCATAGTTGATTAATTGTAGAGTTCTTGAATCGATTATTCTCACATGAGACTTGAATAATTGAAAACAGTAATAAATGGAAATACTTATTATGATTAGCTGATTATTTTTGTAAGTCATGACATTCATTGATTAAGCTGAACAACCTTGAATTAGTTAAAAGTAAGTTTGGGAAATCATTATAGCAATCCTTTGGATAGTGGATAATTGGAATAACGGTAAACAATAATTATAGGAAACACTAATTTTTGATTAATATTTCTTTTGTGACACTGTTTTATTTAAACAATACTCACAAATAATAGATTATATCTATTAATTAAAGTAATCGCTCAGCTATGTTGGGACATAAGAATCAGTTGTCCTATTTTTTTTTGTGATAAGCTTCAGAGAATTTTATAATATTGTAATGAAGTCTGGAGATAATACACCAGAGATTACTTTTAAATCAAATGACCATGTACTAAGATATTGCAGTTTTTTTTTATCAGAACATCATAAGGATTGGAAAACACAGTACTGTTGACTATTGAAAACCATTAATTTAAATCTCACAATAAAACAAGATAAGTCTTTTTTGAATTTGTAAGATGTTTTTGATTTTTCTTTTAAGGAGCAAGAGATATTCAGAAACATCTACAGTCTATGTTTTATCTTCTTCGAGATGGTGATATCCTAGAAATTGTAAGTGATCAAGAAAGTCAGTATTTTATTCTGGTGCTGTGTTATAATACTGTTATTTGCAGTAAACATTTGCATTTACTGCACTGTGAGAAATGTACTTTTAATGTACATGTTTTTTATTGAATTATTTTTTATATTTTTAAAAAACTAAATCATTAACATGAAGTGGGAGAAACGTAGTTATGTATTGTGGCAAACACTACATTCTGTGCTTTGCTGCAAGCCTGAAGATGATTGGTTAGTGGCCACAAAGCATAATCATTTGTAGATATTTTTTCTTTGCCAAGTAGACACCATTGCTATGGTAAGTATTGTGTGAACATTAGTATTTTCACATGTGGCATCACCTTATCAAGACAGGATTAAGACTTTCTAGCTAGTGATGTTTATTAGGTTTATTTATCAGTAACTCCTCCTTATCATATTGTAGAGTTGTGTTGATGCCCTCTCAGGTGATATGAGCTAATACTAATAAGATTTTGATCATGTTGATTATCATATCTTATATAATAATGAGAATTTAATAGTACTTCGTTGTATTTTACAGGTGATTTATGACACATTAGCTTATGCATACAAATAAATAAAAGTCTTCTAATTTCTAAAGAGATATTCTTACTGCATTTTTGTCCATGTATTGATTAGAAAAATGGTAGATTGTTAGTTTCTTAGATGTGCTCATTTATAAATAAATCGCTTGTGTATTTTTTAAGTCTTGTTGTATGGCATACAAGTGAGTTTTCACATAAAATAGCATATTACTTCTAGATTTATTATGGTTTACAAGTAACATTTCAAGAAAAACGACAAGTAATTGGTATTAATGCTACAATGTGGCATTCTCCAGTAAACTGATTGAATAGATTAGCTTCCGAGACTACATCTTAGAAACACAAACACCTTCATTGCTTTCAACAGTAAAAGAAAAGAAAAGGGCTCGTAAATATATATGTCAGACTGTGATTCTTTCTAATGAAATGGCTGGTTAGCTGTCTGTGATAACTGCAGCTGGACTGTCAATGCTTGTATAAGTGTACTTCATTCAGACAATGCAAATTGTTAACAAGAGTTAACTTTGTATTTGATATTCAATCCTTAGCTCTATCAAAACTTCTGAATACCAAGACACAATCATTAGATCAACCCCTTTGATAGAAAAAGGGAGATGAGACTTCTTCAATATTTTGATTCTTCCATTTGACCATTACACCAGGTTTGCTAACCAAGTTAATCAAAGTCAGCTCGATAACATAACTAATGCAGATGTCATGAGAGAATATACATTTGCTTCTTCACTGATCACCTGCTGTATGTAACATGTCAAACAAGAATATTAGCATAATTCAAAGTTGGGTAAATGTTTTTCATGTAGAACATCTATGTACAGCTAAGTGCACTAAAATTTAGAAAGATTAACTTGATGTACCTAAAGAAAGATATATTCGTTTTTTAAGTTATGAAAAGGCTATAACTATAATTACTGCTCTATCCCTCCTTACTTCAGGCCATTCTTGATCACATTAAACTTTTGTTCAAAATTGAAACTTTAAATGTGACAGAAGTTAACATAATAGAATCATACTCTCAAATCTGGATAACACCAGAAACCATGATGGGATATATGCATTACCTGAGTAATTCATGTATGCAAAAGTACATATTTCAAAAGCACTCTGATGTCATGTCTTACCAATGCTTATCATGGTGAAATACTGTATGTGGCTAGTGTCCCAAGCTGTGGGGCTGAGGTTCTATGGTTTGCATCCTATTATTGCCAAAAAATAAAAAATAGAGCTCAACACTTTATAGCTATCGGTGCATTATAATATTGATGGTCAAATCTCACTATTCAGTCAGATATTAGTAGCCCAAGAGTTGGTGGTGTTGACTAACTTCCTTCTATTAACTCTGTCACTTCAAACTTAGGGACAGCTTGAAGCTTTGTATGAAATCCAACAAAATAAAAACAAATATATGTGCATGTGTATATTACATACACATTTAAAGTTTTACAGAACACACCTCCCTAATTTATGTTTAATTTTCATAATATTATTACAGATTGTTTTCCTCTCTGAAGAAGCCTCACATATATATGCATGTCATTCACAATCACTATCATTTGATCAGGTTGCCAAAACAAGAATAGTACATTTCAAAACAACCTTATTCCATCATTTAAGTGTTAAAATGATAGCAAATATATCCAAATGTATAGTCGTGCCTTGTGTGACCATAAAGTTTTGAAAAAAGAGACAAGTGAAGATGTAAGTTAAAATTTAAAATATTACCACATTTAAGGTTTTTCCAAAGTGGAAAAACAGAGGTAATTTAAGCACTATTCATGTCAGGATAAGTTCACAATATAACACTAGTAAGGTTGACCACTCATCAAAATGCTATCAACTTATATGTCTAGATTTAGGATCCTTTCTAGATTGAAAATTTTACAAAATGCCTTATGTGAGGTTACTTTCCAGTTTTGAGATTACTAACAAGGATGAATTCAAGTTGGTCCACATTACAAATATCAAAGTTTTTAAGATTATTATATAAGTTAACAACTACAAATTAGAACATTTGTAAAATATTTATATTATTAGTCAAAATTCTATTAACAAAATATTTATATTTGACATTTTTAAACATTAAGGTACAGAAAATAAAGGTGTAATGCTTGTAATTATTAAATGATCAGACATGCAAACTATGATGATTTGTATGAGGTAGTTCTACTCAGAATTGCCATAAGTCCCATCAATGGAAAATGCTACATCTAAATTTTATAAATTGCATACATACAAAAGATAAAGTAATTTATATAACTTATAAATTATATATATAAATTACAATATAGCAAGGTATTGTATAACTTCTTACAAGTTATTCATATCCATATGTATAAAAACAAAGGGTAAAGTCTCCCATAACACTAAAAGATATGGATATATATTTGTACGTACATACACAGGTGAAGTTAATTTTTGTAGTTAGGTAAAAGATAAACTGTACATAGTAGCTACGTACTTGTGTTGTTTGGAGCTCACCCATGATTGATGTTTTTGGCCTTGTGAGACTTGACTAGGCCCTCCTTAAGTCTTTAGTTTTTGGCAACTACTCTCTATCCACTTCATTTATGTCATTTGTCTTCAGCATTTTGGAGAAATGTCCAATACCCAGTCCTAATCCTCTGGATGGCCCAAGCCTAGCTGTAACCCTTTCAATGAATCACCTTGCCAAAGAAAGGTCAGTGATATGATTGTAGGGGCTGTTGCTCACTTTTTTCCCTTTGTGTAACAATGTTGAACCATACCCTTCCACCAGCTAGTGGCAAATCTTTACCTTCCTCTTGGAAGCTAGGCAGCTGGAGAATGGGGAAAAATTGTAGGACTAATTTTCTTAGGCACTATCAGTGACTAAATTGAATTGCAGTTATTCCTACTTCTTACAAAAGAATGCTAAACTGTTAGCTGACTAATGAATGGTGCTATCTTTGGAACTGGTTTTACTTAGCTTTCCTCCACTTTCTTTGCTTTTCAGGGGTTTGATAGAGGTCTAGGAGTCTTTGGAAAACTGATGTAGCCACATTCTCCCTGTGATATCACTAAGAAGTCTTCCATCTTAGGCATGGCAAAGAGCAGGCTAATTGGCTATTCAAAAACAGAAAAAGAACATGAATAGCCAGTGGTCAAGAACAAGGCCTTACATAGCAAAGATCAAGATTAGTTTCTAATAGGTCAGAAGTTCAGCCAGCAATATAAGGTTGGAAGTAACCTGACTGATCTTTATTGGCTGACACAATCTTTGTTGGCATGCCTCCCCTACTGAGCCATTGCCCAGCAGCAGTAACTCTTGCAAGCTTGCATGCCTCACACAAACACACATGATCTTTCACTCTTGCCTGTTTACTGTTGCAAAGTACCAGTTCCAATGGGAGAAAGGGTTGAATTGCTAGTATAGCCACTGTGTCATTAACTGAAACCTATTCAGTATTTTTACCATGTCCTGTGTACTTATAAATTTAATGTTGCCTTAATCTAAACCACACAAAATATGTGTTGAAACTACATTTCTGCAGAATAAACCTGAAAAAAATAATCAGTAACATCTGCACAAGCCAAGAATAGTCCAGTTTTAGAAATCAAATATATTTAATGTTAGAAATCACTAGATGTACACATTTCCTTTCATTATGAAAGATTTGTTTGTCTTACCGTAAAGCTACGAAATAGGCTATCTGCACTGTGTCCACCATGGAAAATCAAACTCCAGATTTTAGCATTGTAGATCTGTAAACATACCAGTGATTCACTGGAGAACCATTATGAAAAAGCTAACAATCCAGATGTTATTTTATTCAATTTTAAAGTCTATGAATATTTCAATTTTAGTAAGTTGAGTACATGTCTTTGTCACCACCACCACCACTGAAAAACTTGGAAACACCATGTTATTTTGTTACTGAGATGTAGATTGAACAATAACCTCCATATCATTCTGTGAAAATCAATACAGTTATTCATAAAAAAATTTAAAACAGCTTGACTGGGTAATGAAGAAAACTTTATTATAAATATACAACATTTTGACAAGATTATGTCATCCTCAAGTGCTAGTTATTAATATTCCATATTCTTTGCCATCATTAAGTAAATACAATATGTGTTGTTGTTTTTCTCAAAGTGGTCCATGCTAATTATTATGTGCACACTTAAAATTTTCTTCTCTATCATCTTACAGTTTTTTATTGCCTTAAAATTGTGCCCTCTATATATATTTTGTTTCTGTATCTATTGCACAATGTACATGAACAAATTCAGATGAGCTGTGGAATCACATATATATACAACATCATCATCAATTTACTAAACACACATACATGTAGCACATGACAGATCAACAATAAAATGTATATAGTAAGTAAATAATGGTTAACTGCTAACATCAGTAGCCATGCAATCTGCTTCTGCGCTGCCAGCTATGAGCTAGAAAATCCAGTT